ATTTTAAACTCACGTTTGATCTCGCGAAGTCTCGCAAGATTTCCTGTTTGCCATCTGAATGTCCGTGAGTGAAAACTGTTTGTGTAACAATGTAAGGATTCAGTCTACTCAGATCACAGCATTTAAAATGAGGATGGATGTCTTCACCATTATATTTTATAAAAGAACTGAAGGTTAGAATTTAATTATTATTTTAAACAGATCAGATTCAAGCAAGACTTGATGTTACAACAGCAACAGCTTTCCTTGTCTTTCCTTTTATTAATTTGGCCCATGCAGTCTCCTTTAAAATCTCATCATGCCGACTGATGAACACATTTGTTTTGTGCTCACTCTCTAGCGTTCCCATTGATTTGCTTTCATCAACAAACACCCCATGAAGCACAGCACTTCCTCTATTATCCATGAACTGCAATTTCCTACTGTTCCACCACCACCAGGCGCTGATTAGATCTGAGCATGGCAGCCTAATAGAAACCTTTCAGAGTGTGAGGATCCAACATACCAATTAGTTTCAATTAGTCTAGAATTAGCCTACAATAAAGGAGTATAAAAGTATGTGTCTGAAGTCCCCAATTCAAAATTAAAACCGTAGCATGGTTGGTCTGGGTCTTTTACTTTTAAGGTTTCAATCAGTCATTCAGATTTGCAGATAATGTCCAAATCATACAGTGAAATTTTTTTCATTATTTCTTCCCCCATTTTTATCTCTGCCTATAATTTGAATAGTTATATCCAACTATTTAAGCCAAAGCAACAATATTGTTTTTGCTTGTTTGTCTGCCACATTAGCAAAACATCTCATGAACAAGTGAACGGATTTTACTTTATTACTGTCAGAAAGTAATCAATGAAATGTACATCTACAAATTTACTTTTGGAGTCAGTCCAAATACCAAAAGTAATATCAGCAATATCAATATAATATAATTCAGCTGATTTTAAAAATACTGAGCAAAAATTAGATGTGGTAATTGCTAGGAATCACCCATAAAACATACTCCAAACACAATACAGTGCACATCAGCTATGCTAAATATCTCATGAACAATTGCGCAGATTTGAGTAAAACTCCATCCATCCATCCATCCATCCATCCATCCATCCATCCATCCATCCATCCATTCATCCATCCATTATCTGCCCCTTGTTTTGGAGTTGGGTTGTGGTGGCAGCAGCATGAGCATGGAGGCCAAATTTTCCAGCTTCTAATCAAGGATTACAAAGCCAACCAAAAGACACAGTTTCTCCAGCTAGGTACGTGTCTGGGGCCTCCTTAGAAAATGCTCAAACCACCTCATTTGGCTCTTCTTGATGTAAAGGAGCAGTAACTCTTCCACTTAAGGCAGAACCTCGCTTCCAACCTGAAGATAACAGGGCACTCATTTCATTACTGTACATGTCATCCCCTTTAGAGGTTTAGCTGTATACCGACCTTCAGAAATCCGTATATTTCACAAAACGTTTTTAGTACATTTCGTACTCTCACTGCATTGTGGGAGTTGGCGGTATCTGCAGCAGAACAGTTACAGTCTTGTGCAGTGATACCAAAACTGAGATTTCGAAACAAGTGTGGCGTTTTAGAATTACTTCCATAAATAAAAAAATAAAATAAAATAAAATACTTGAAAGTAATTGCTAGCAGCACATTTGCCATAACCACTATAAAAAAAACAGTAATGTGGAAAAATGATAGTTTTAAAATCTGTTCGGGTATTGGATGTATTATTGTACTTCTGGCTGTCTAGCGACACTTCAACCAGTAGTAGCCAGGGTCATGAGCCTCTGTTGGGTTTATTTTGTGGGTCAGAACCTAAATGATTTGGGAACCATCGGTCTAGTGAACAAAGGGGGAGGGGGCAAACTTTGGATTTCCTTACAGAGCGGCTCTGAGACATAAAATATATTTGAAGCTGTTTTTTGGAAAAAAAATCTGTATACATGCAAAATGGTGGAAAATCTGTGTAAGTTACAAACAATCTGTACAACTTGACATGTATTATTTTATTTCACAAACTCTCACAAATCACATTCTTTGCTGGATTTTTGTTCCTCTTCTGGCTGTACAATATCTTTGGGTTTATATTTTATTTATCTTGTTTTAAAGGGATCCCTGATTAGTTGTAACATTAGACTTTATTTGATAAACATATATTTCAACTGTAAAATAAAGACTGTAAAAATACTGAAGGCTGTTTAGTTTTGTAAATTTTTAAAAATATATTTTAACACGGACGGAGCCATTTTATTCACACACAAAGCTTTCTGGGTAAATGATGACGTGGATAGGTCCTCAGTGTGAGGCTGCTAGCGAGCTATATCCACCCTGAAGGTTAATCTTGGACAATATNATGTGTAGCGCTGAGCTAATACATATATATGGTGATAGCATCGTGGCTAACGCTAAAGCTAACAGGCTAAGCTGGAGTTCTTCTTCCATGAAGCAGCTCTGTTGTCCTCCATCTATATTTTCAGTACAGCTGAATCATTTCTACCTTCTCCTCTGTCAACGCTCTGGTTTCATTTAAAAGAGTCAATCGTCAGATATTGTCCAAGATAAACCTTCAGGGTGGATATAGCTCGCTAGCAGCCTCACACCAATGACCTAGTTGATGTCATAATTTACCCAGAATGCTTTGCGTGTAAATAAAATGGCCCCGTCCATGTAATATATTTTAAACATTTAGGTTAAAAATGATAAAAACTGAACATCCTACAGTATTTTTACAGTCTTTATTTTACAGTTAAAGTATATGTTTATCATATAAAGTCTAATGTTACAACTAATCAGGGATCCCTTTATATCTGCTCTGCCACGCAATTTGTCCAGATCATTGGTTTAACAGATATTACAGAAGATATTAGGATTGTTGTATGACTCTGAATGGCAGACAGGTTATTTTTGGCAAGATGGATGGATGCCAGGAGGCGGGGTCAAAGGTCAAAATGTGTGTCGGTGTTTTTTTATAGGAAGTATTTTGCAACGACTATCCACCCGAGGATCCAAGTTTGGACAAAAATACTTAAAATCCAGTTTGAGTAGAAACTGTTCAATCCCTTTGTCGGTTTAAAGTGATATTCTGACTATTTTTTTTTGTGAGGTTCTGTTAAGTTACTAAAATTTAACAGTTTTTTAACCAACCTCAGTTAGGAGGAGGTTGTCAGGCTAACAGCTAGTTTTAACACAGCTAAGAACCAAGTGGAAAACTAATTCAGACTAGCCATTAGCTCGTTAAACACAAACTAAACTCTTAGTTCTTCCTCTTCTTTTTGGTAGTCGTTGTCCTCTTCCTCTTCTTCCTATTCTTTTATTATTCATGAGACTCATTTACAAAAACATCTAAAAACTGACTGAAGCTTTGTCAGCAAAATATTTCATAAACCAATGGGAGGATTTAAACAAATCTTTAAAGGCGCAGTGTGTAGGATTTGTTGTTTTCAGCGACATCTAGTGGTTGAGTGGTTGAATCATCCTCCCTGGTCCTCCCCCCACCCCC